CCTCTTTTCCCACCTAGGTACGCTATCTGTCTTGGATGCTTCACATGTTTTAGCTGACTCACTGTTATGCCGCAAATTTCCGAGATTGGAAATTTAAGGCACTGCCCAAATGTTAACAGACTTGCAAAAGCGTTTTACAGCAATTAGACCAATGATGGCAACACACAGACTGTGGAACGCGGTCAACAAATGTCTTAGGCTCCCCGTACACACAGTTTGGCCTTCCGATCGACCTTACAGGCAAAGCTGTGACAGTTTACCCCTTCCATTTCCTCCCCATACACGCGCAGATAAAGCGGCAGGCTTCATACCACAATCACGGTCTTCCAGCCTATAATGTTGAGTCACACACGTCACGTGCTACGGTCCTGCAGGCAGAACTGACGGACTGACGGGTTTCCCACAGGCCAACAGTCCAAACGATTGGCCGGCGGGCCACACCACACACGTCACTTTTGCCTTTCAGTCTTCAACTGTGCAGGCCGAACTGGAGGCCAAACTGTGTATGGGGGCCCTTAGTCAGCAGAGGTGCGTAATAGCATTAACGGAAAGCTCACTCAGTAGGCCACTGGGTAGTACGAAATTACAAAATGCACAGGGTGAGGTGCCACGGATTGCCCGCGAGGAGTCGAGTTTAGCCAATGGACACCACTAGCCTTAACTAGGGCAAAGGGGAGGAGGTAACTTCCCTCTTCTGTCAGCTTCCCAACTTAATGTTGTAACTTTACACTATACTGGACTAACCTTGAAACTTGACATATAATAATACATATTTTAATATCATAAAGCTGTCAATATATAATACACATTTTTTAAAATATCCTAGGTATACTTTTATTATAATTAATTTTAATACTTCCATTGTAACTCGAGGCATAATCTGTATTATGGAGTACAACATGTTGCACCAAATATGGATCCATATTAAGAGTTCAAATGACCCTAGACATATTCACATATCACCGTCTGATGATGGTCCCATGAGGACCAAAATATGTAGCAGGAAATAATATTCAGTCTCCAAAATACCGATTGATTATAAAATCATTTGTTGTGGCGACAGCTGACCTTAACCAAGATGCATGTTTAAATGGTCTGCTGGGATCAATAGCTGGACACAGAACGCCTAACATCTCAACACAGTACACAACAGTGACACAAACTCAATCCCCGAATTCCACTACTATGAGCATCATCTGTCCCATCACAATCTGATCAATATCCCTCGCTTAAACGTAAACTGCAGCAAGAATATCAGGAAACAGTTATAACCAATTTTCAAATGTGTATTACACTCATTCAGGATATTTATGGCTGTTACAATCAACCATGATTAGTGGTAAAACTGTTTGCGCTTTATCACAAGATTGATATCAGAACATCAGCAGCACTAGGAAGAAAGTTCATGACAACTCTACAAAACTTAGGAAATGCAAGAGAGTTTTGCCAAATGCATAACTGAGCATAACTGAACATAACTGAGGGTAAATAAAAGACATGACAAGAAAAATACTGTTTCCTCATTCCAACCAGAAAACATCCAATGATTTGTACTTTCCTGTGTCCATATTCTCATTTTCTTACAAACAGTTTTCCAAGTATTGACTGAATAGATGATGTTCAGTGTACAAGAGCCATGCAAGAACATTACGTCAACTTATGAGAAAGTACATATGACACAAACCAATAAAAGTTTTCCATTTCTCCTTAGGAAATCGTGGTTCTTCTCGAAGAGGTGCTGGAATATCGATTTTGATAACTCCATTGGGTACACCACCCCGATGGATGGCCAACCCATCTGTCTTGTCATCTTCATCATAGTACTCAATGGGAGGGGAGAGGATATCGCCTGTGTTGTTGCTTGTCCAGGCATTGGCCTTTGTGCTGGGGGGGAGCAGCGGCTGCACAACAGAAATATCCAGACAATAATTACCCATTGTGCACCCTGACTGAGGGCATTCATAACACATGACCAATACAAACACAGTAGCAATAAAAGTGATATTAAGAAGACTTCATCTCTCCCCCATTTTCTAAACAACGTTTAAAAATTCAGTTCCTGTGTCACAGAAAACAAACTGCACCTCTAAGGAAAGACCATCCAGTTAATGCTGCTCAAGGATATGTTTCTTGTCGATTCTGATAATAATCATAAACATAGAGACACTCTGTTTCCATGTGAGTAATGTTGAGTTTTCAAATATGAAGCAGGTGGCCATAGCTGCCATTGTTCTTTAACCCTTTTATATCCGATTTAAAAAAAAATTGAGCCATTACAACAATAGGACAATTTTTATGTCTTGACACATCTAGAAACTGGTTTCCAAAATTATATAGCTCTTTCAGCTTACCTGTTATGGCACTACATTTACACCAAGCAAAAAAAAGGAGTGGAATGGATCGTGCCAGGAGGTACAGCAGAGACATCTGTGGGCCATATGCCCCACTATGGTTAATCATAAGATACATTCCCCATGGTGTATATCTTAGTTATGCCTATAATATTTTTCTATATGATTTGAATGTCAGTGAAAGATACATTTAGACAACAGCTCTGAACTGGGGATACATGTACCCCAAGGGGGCAGATGCAATATACTGTCAAACACGGGAGATAAAGACTAGGAAATATCCTGACAAGTTTCTTTTGTACATGGAATAAACAAATCTTATTTAAAGAGTCACTGTATCTAGTTATGATTACAGTGGATGATAAGACACAATCTGAGATAAAATTTAAATCACCACTGAAAAAGGATTTGTAAAATTTCACTCTCAGACCAACAGGCAACTGAAAGAAAAAGGTTCTGAAACGCTGCATTATGACATGAACTACCAGAAATATTTGACAGAATTATTACATCACACAGCCCAATGTGTTATATTTGTATCATGGTATTCCCACCTGTATTAACACAGATGGAAGGACAGAAACCATTTCAAGGTACAGTTTAACTTAATTAACCAACAAAAGTACCTGAAGACAGCAGCTGCAAAGAGAAGTGCAGTGTATATAAAGGGCACTTTTTGTATCTGACTTTGGAAGTGCTCCAACTGCAATGGTTATTTGCACCTGTCATACATCATGTTTCAAAAATACATACATTCATAGCCTATGACACAGGACAGGTGACAAATACCCGGGGCACTTATACTTCCTGTAGAACAAAAAATGTAATTGGCCTAATGCAAGTGCCTTCAATAATTTTATAACAACAACTTATCTTCAGTAACAATGTATGAATAATTTTTTTCATTTATAAGGTTGGATTTCCTCCTGCAAAAACAAGTAAGGGCAAGGATTTTACTTACTTAATTAGTAAATTAGCTACACTTAGCTACAATTAGCTAGATCTTTTTTTTTTGTGCATTAACTGGCAACATTTGGTAGAGAGCTGATTTAAGGGAACCCGTACTTGAAGTTAAATTGTAACTTCTGGCTGGCAATGGAACATCTCCAAATTTTGAAAAGAGACAAAGCAAGAGTATGCCCATTGGGAGTGACAGTGGTGCACGATCAGTATGAACAGCTGTACCACCATGTTGGAAGCAAGGCCATGCCATAGCTCAAGTGGTTAGTCGCTGGCTTACCACCGTGGCGGCCTGGGTTTAATCCCGGGTCTGGTTAAGTGGGATTTGTGGTGGACAAAGTGGCGCTGGGGCGGGGTTTCTCTGAGTACTTCGGTTTCCCCTGTCAATCTTCATTCCACCAAATTCTCCATCACCATAATCATCTGGGTCAAGTAAAATAGGCCAGTCAGTGGCCAGCATGCTGAGGGGACCCAGCTGGACACCAACCCCCACTAAGTGAAAATGTTGGAAGCAAGTCCGATCATAAGATTTCATGTTGCTGAGCTGTGGAGTAATATAATAATTACATTTCTTAATACTGCTGAGGTGTCACAATAAAAGTTGAGCTGGCGGTACTGCAAAAAATTGAGGGGCAGTAACTCCAGACATGCAATGCCACACCAACACATTCAATGGGTAAAATGGATAAAAATTTTTTCACCCAAAAACATGTTGTTTGTTGACATAACCTGTAAGCTTAAAATCATCTGTTCCACATGGAAACCTATTGCCACTCCTGAACATATCCAGAAATGTACAGACTACAGTCTTCTCAGGTCAGACATCATGTAGTTTAGCAGACGGGTGGCAATGTGCTGGGGGAACCTGCTACCTCAAACATGACAGAATGAAAATGATGATGGAATTAATGAAGACCATCTAATAATTCACAGCAGTAGGTCTTAATGACCTTAACCTATAAAGTGTATGCTGATGAAACCAGGTATGCTGTCACGATTTTTAAGTCTTTCTCATTCCCACCTTGCAAATGAATTTCGAGATTTTTGTCACTTCTCGGCCATCTTAAAATGTATTTTAACCTTTCAAGGCACAGTGGTTACTACATGTACCACCTGCTTTAACACACCAAAACTCTGCATTCTGCCCACAGAGTGTATCTGTGTGTTCCGTATGGTTCTCACAATAAACAGTGACTGTTTCCCCAGACAGCATTAACCAGATGGGCTTTGTATTGGAGATGTAACATGTTTCCTGTGAGGTATGAACTTAACTTATATATTATTCTGAAGGAATTCAGTTCTTAAAGGTATGATAGTTAGGCATGATCTGCTTTGCAAAGCCTGGACTGACAGAGGACTTTTGTGTACAGCAAAAGGAAGAAATTTCAATAATATGCTATATGTGCAAGACATACGTTTGACAGTAGAGCAAGCATATTCATAACAAACAAACCCATCTTCTTGTCAGAGAGGATGTTACATATGGACTATTACTACAAGAGTTCAGTTGGAAAAAGAGTCTCTGGACGTGAACCTAAAGGGCTTGCCGCCAAGACGAACTGATTGGCTGTAAACCACCAGTCGTAAAGTAACTCTGACTCCGATGGTGAGTTCTCAAAAGGTTAATAACATGTGATAGGAACACTGAATCATCATTTGAGACAAGAAACAACAGATTAATACTGGTACAGACCTGTCGCTGATATAGGTCGGATTGGGTCATATCGCGAGTCAGGCGGACACTCTCGTTGTCGCTATGCAGCCCTGTCTCATCACTACAGGACTGGTGGGCTATGCCCGGAATGTCTACAGTATGATGCTGGTGATGTGGACCACCACTGATACCATTACTCTGAGTCTGGATACTGCCATAGTCATTGTGGCTGCTATTCTTGGGGTCCAACACCATCCTGCAGCAGTAACAGAACAGGGAAACATGTACTGATCTGATCATAACTGACACTTGTCTTTCTGCAAATCATATGAACGTACTAAAGGCAAACTAATCATATGTCACAGACATGCATTAATTTCCATATATCCATACAGGTAACAAACCTAGGATGTGGAAATAGTCCCTTTGAAAATAGATAAATCAAGATACATACACAAAATTACATGAGTCACATAATCAAAATCACTTACATTAATTGATTAACATACATAATAATATAAAGTAAAAAATTAATAAGATTCTAATTAATAAACATAATTTAAAAATAACTTACTATAAAACTTGAATTAATACAATTTTATTTAAATTACATATATTAACTGAATTAAATACATTACAAATTTACATACTTATGACCAGTTATATTGATTATATTCATTCATGGAATAAAAAGAATGATGATATAAAAACTTCTTCAATGCAGATTTAAAACTTCTCTCATCAGTAGCCAACATTTTTATTGAAGAAAGCAGTTTTCTTGGATTTGGCACCGTGTATATGTGGTGTTAACCGACGTTTCGAAGGAACGTATCGCTCGCCTCCATCTTCAGGGTAGAAGAAAAAATATAAGAAATCTGCAAGCGAAGAGACCGTGAGAGCCGGTAAAAGCAGACTGCTTTTCTCTTCGCTTGCAGATTTCTTATATTTCTTTCTTTCTTTCTTCATAGTCACCGCCGTGAAAGCCTCAAATCTTACACAACATTTTTATTGTTTGAGGAAGATGATTAAAAACTTTAATACCTGATATGTATGCACCTTTATTGTATTTTGTTAGGTTAACTGCAGGTAAATATAAATTATTGAGAGCTCTAGTAATGTATTTGTGAATTTCACTGTTAAAATTAAAAGAATGTTTATTATTAATTGTGTATAAAAGTAATGAATATATTTACTGTAGATAGAACAATGAAATGTGATCATACCTTCAGAAACAGAAACATATACTGGGAAGTGGTGGTCATATTTAGAAATTAGTGGCAAACACTGACAACTTGAAAACCCAAGAGACTGTATAACAAATTCCAGGTTCTCACGTAGACGCATTCATGAAGGTTAATAACAGACATCAGAAACACCTGCAACTGGACCCCACCCTGCAGGAATAAAGATGTATGATAAAACAGTGTAATCTGCATCAGGATACTGATATTAATGTTTCATCTCTGGAGACAGCAGTGTTATTGACAAGGTCACCTATGGCCACAACCTACCTACCCATGGCCCTAGAGCCCTTCTGGACCTTGGCCGCCTTTTCAGTTTCTTAATCTATACACAGTTAGTAGGCCTCCTTCAACTGGGGGTCAGCCAGTGGCAAGGCCACTGCGTATACAAAGAACACAAACACAGACTAAACGAACATTCACATCCATGTCTAGAGTGGGAATCGAACCCACGATCCCAGAGTTCGAGTGTTGTTATAGAGCCGTGTTTACCGCCACGTTGCATAACAACGGTCGCGGAGAGGACAACACAGAAAACACTGTACTTCTATTGTTGCATGTGTGTATGTTGGGGGCATTACCTAGCAACGGCCGCTCTTTACAGAGTCATTGCTTGGCAATTGGGATTGGAGAATACTGAAATAGATCGTAAAGAAATAACGCGTGAGGGCATGAACTGAACATAGTACCATACGAGTAAAAGGCAAGGAATTTATTCAGTAGCTGAGCAACTATTAGGGTCCGGAGGAGGACTTTGTTCTATAGGGATGGTCAACTCGATAACGAGAATAGGCAAATTTACAGGATCATGTAGACCAGACTGTGGACACTGGAATCCCCAAATTTAGAGTTCCATGACAATGTCGTCGCTCGCAGTTCATTCTAAGGCGGCGTATGCACCTGGACTGCATAGTGTCCAATGGGAAAACGTTTGGAAGGAAGAGGTGGTGGCCTGTTGGAGATACGCCCCCAGTACGGAGGGACTGAGGAAAACCACGCAAACCTGCCAGACTACGAATCACTCGTCTATCGAATGTCAGTTTGGACAGTTATCACTACATTAGCCTCCACAGCGGCTTTTTGCGAACCACGTATACAAAAACAATCCAGGAAAAGTAAAACTGAAATAGGATGTTGGAACTGCCTTCGGGAGAATCACGGCATAAACGTGTACTCACCTCTAAACAGTCGAGAGGGCGGACATGTATTGAGAACAACGAAGGGCACATATGTTCATGTTTATGTTCCTGAGATACAAAATGCAGGTTTTCTATTTGTATACTATTTTAAATTAGTATAAGATACTACAAGTGCGCCATTGTTCACTTACAGCAACCAATTGAAAAAACGCACCAAGTATTACCACGAGGCCGCGACATAGCTCAAGCGGTTAGTCGCTGGGTTCCCACCGCGGCGGCCCGGGTTCGATCCCGGGTCTGGTCAAGTGGGATTTGTAGTGGATAAAGTGGCGCTGGGGCACGTTTTCTCCGAGTACTTCGGTTTCCCCTGCCAATCTTCATTCCACCAATTGCTCCTCAATCACCCTCACCTATCATCTGGGGCTGGTACAATAGGCAAGAAGTGGCCGCAGTACAAGGGACCTAATCCCACACCACTAGCAATAAAAAAAAGGTACTACGACAGTACAAAGTTGCGTATTTGCCAAACCCGTCCAACTCACAGAAGGTCAAAGCGATTATAAGAACATAAACTAAACTAGAGGAATTTAATCTCATGTTCGGCACACTGTAACAAACAGACTACTCGTCGTCATATACACAACTACAGGTTAGGTCAGGTTTATTATGTTACACTTCATACGAACGAAAATTACGTCATCTATTCATCTTTCTTTTTCCCTCGTCCTTTTTCTGTATCTTTTCAGTTCTCAGCACAATAAATTCGTGTTAAGGCGATGCTTGAACTTTCAGTTTTTCTTTCAAATTATTCCGCCATCTTAGGAGGCCTGATGCAAGTATAAATAGAAGTTAGGTTATGCCCGAGGAGGCTTAGGTTGGTATGAGATGTGGGCCGATCCACAATTGACAGTCAACCTCACACGTATGTAACACGTTTCCATAAACAAGACACTGCAATCGAGTTCTGGCTGTTGTTTCTTTACTGATGTAGTGGCTCGAATACAAATAGTTTTGTTGCAAGTGCAATTTTCTTAAGTTTGGACTCGAGTCGTATACAGTCACTAACGTAGACCGGAAGAAACTGCGCCAACTACATAAACTAGCCAACTGAACTACTGAAACCACTAAAATGAATGAAATGCAGCTACAGCAGTGTCACCCGAAAAACGCTCTTGGAAGAACACAAACTTTAATGTTCTCTTATACCCCGTCACTTTCTTGCATTTATCACAATCCCATTCGCATATCAACAATGGCAGAATCAAGGTGACACTGTAAACGCACACCATAACCACATAATATTTGATGCTCAGGTATAAAGGAGTGTAACAGATTCAACAGCAATAAAACTGCTTCGCATTCAAATAGATATGTTTGGCAAACATACATACTTGGACATGTCTACTACCCAGTCTGTTTAACTACTGATATAGTGCTTGCATACAGCAGACCTGAATAGTTATGAAATAAAACATACACGCAGAGAGGTATGAAAAATTTACGCACTCAGCGTTTTTAAACACTGAATGCAAAATTTACGGGCCCACGGAAATCTAAAAGACATGTGGTGATAATAAAACAGTCAATGTTTATATTTCCTGCAATTAAAAACATCTTATATTCATCTTTCATACTTATAGTAACAACATGCAAATTTTCTGCAACAGAGTGTCAACAGTAGAAATTTCACGTACTAGAAACACAGAATTTTCCACTTTCGTGGCCTACTGTTGAACTTATGCTTATGCAACGCTCGATAATTCGTTGATTTCACTGATTTTACGTATATTGAAACTTACATTATTATAATGCAAACGAAAAATTGGACCTAACTGAAGTTAGGTAGTAGTGGTAGTAGTGACGTAGTGGAGGGGCTTGCGTGGTCAAATGACCCTGAGAACTATGCCGGTGGTAGCATAGCTACTGGTAGGGCCACCCATGTCGGACAGGTCGAAGGTGATGATGACCCAGACTAAAAGAAATACCCTGGCCGTCCAGGTTGGGGGTTGGGCGAGAGGCTGACCTCTCATCGTAAAAAAATATGTCTCGAAACCCGGAATCAAGCCTCGGAAGAGAAGAATGGAGGGGCTTGATAAGGGAGGTCAAGGCCCGACATCGGGCTGTTGCGCCATGGAAGAAGAAGAAGAAGAAGAAGAAGAAGAAGTTGAAATATATAACAACATTTCACGTTATTAATCCGACAAAACAACTGAATGGCTATTAAGACTTATGACAGGCCTATGCATGACCACTGCAGGGTCTCCTGGATAACGTACCGCTTAAGAAAGATGAAAATTACCGACGGTTGAAAGAAATATCGATTCTGAAGAAGGCAGCAATCAATTCTTCCGCAAATTCCGCAGTTTTAACCATTTCAATATAGTGTCACACCCAGAAAATACAACAAAAAACACACAACACTCTTCAGAACCCAATTTTACAAAAATATCTGAGGTTATGTTGTGCCGCCTCGAGGAATAATCGTAGACATGCGTTTATCATCTTAGCTATGCACAGCATACTCGTATGTCCGCATTCAACAATTTGAGAACTTCTGAAAAGATTTTCATCAAATTTGGCATGAGAGTTTTACTGAATTTTTTCGATACTTTCCAAGTTTCGTTAAAACCAGACAACAAATGACGGACACTTTCCATGAAGAACTACATGCGTTTCGGCGCGCATCTCAAGCGCAACTCGGTTTTTATCACGTGAGAGGTGTTTCAAACAGAAGGTGTAGAGAATGAAGCTCGTATTCTCTAACACGTAGAGTTTGAGGTTCTCACAACGATGGTTATGAAGAGTTATGTCTTGTGGGATATAACGCCGAGTAGCCCGTTGAAAGTCAACCGACTTTTCGGTGTCCTGCTTGGCTT